TATAAATGAGAATCTCCATAGCCATTTACCATTCATATAGCATTTCTGTGATGGCAGCAAAAATGTAGTAAAAGAATCACTTGATGGGAGTAGACTAAGGCCTGGTTAGACCTACATTGGCCTCAAAACATATTTCTACAAGCTTGCAAGCAGGCAGAAAAAGAAAACAGCCACTCCATTGAGTATCACCATCCGGTTCTCAACTATATAATGATCTATCACTATTGTTGTATGTACATAGTGGCGCAGTGGTTAGAGTGCAGTACTGCAGGCTACTTCTGCTGACTGCCAGGTGCCTGCAATTTGGCAGTTCAAATCTCACCCGGCTCAAGCTTGACTCAGCTTTTCATCCTTCCAAGATAAAATGAGGAACCAGATTGATGCGGGCAAAAGGCTATGTTAACCGCTTAGAGAGGGCTGCAAAGCACTGTAAAGCGGTATATAAGTCTAAGTGCTATTGCAATTACTACACTGATGGGTTATGCGCCAGAGAGAAATTCCTTGTGTGTCTAATCACACTCGGCCAATAAAAAATTCTAATTATATTGTCTCTAAACTGGGAGGGTCATTGCTCTACCGGCTAATAGTTGTTGCTAAACTTAAGATTTAAAGCTGGTCATCCTTTCTAGACAGCTACAGACCTTAAATGAATGATCAACAAGTTTGTTCCCAGGCTGAAAGTTGGCTAAGACAGAACAATGGGGCATATATAAGAAGGCGCTAAATCTTGGTGATTTAGACATGTCCATGTAATTTTCTGGGTAGCAATGTACAAGTGGTTTGCTCTTGTCTTTTTCCAAGATCCTTCTGGACTTTCCCGTTCCACAGCCGTAGAATTTTTGGCTATCTTTCACCCACGTTATAAGCATATCTAACACTGCTTAGTTGTTTTTTTTAAAAGAGCACAAGTGAAGTAGGCAGAGTTCTAGTTTTGAAGTGGTCACATTTAGAGTTTGGGGAACATGTTAAGAAGAAAAAAAGAAAAAAGCACAAGAAGATGGCAGAACTTGGCCAATCTTGGTTGTCTTCAAAAGCTACATACGGAGAGTCCTGGTTGGTATCTGACTAGAGCAGGGGTGTCAAATGCAATTTCAATGAGGGATGCATCAGCGTTGTGTTTGACGTCAGGGAGGCAGGGTGGGCGTGGCCAGCTTGACATCACTTGTGTTGGGGGCGCCTGTGGTGGCCCGAGCGCTCTGTCAGTGAAAACAGGCTCCCTAGCTCCGTTTTCAGCTGCGATGGCCTCGTGCAACCCTCTGTCAGCAAAAACGAAGCTCGGGAGAGCTGCTCGTGGCTCTCCCGAGTTCCGTCTTTGCTGGCAGAGGCACCGTGGGCTTGTCCTTTGCTGCTTCCAGGACGGCCCCGCGGACCAGATCTAAGCAGCCAGATCCAGCCTGTGGGCCTTGAGTTTGACATGCCTGCACTAGAGGAATACAGGTAGTTCTCAACGTATGACCACAATTGAGCCCAAAATTTATGTTGTTAAATGAGACATTTGTTAAGTGAATTTTGCCCCATTTTATGACCAAGGTTAAGTGAATAACTGCAGTTGTTAAGTTAGTAACAGGGTTGTTAAGGGAACCTGAACCCCCCCCCCCAAATGACTTTGCTTGCCAGAAGGCCACAAAAGATAATCACATGACCCCAGGACACAGCAATGGCCATAAGAGTCAGTTGCCTAGTGTCTGCATTTTGATTTTGTAACCCTGGGACTGCGCCAATGGTTACAAGTGTGAAAAGCACTCATAAGTCACTTTTTTCAATGCCATTGTAGCTTCAAATGGTCACCCAAAAAACTGTTGTAAGCAGAGGACTACCTGTACTAGAAAAATCCAGGGCTGTAAACTAAACGGGAAATTAAAACAGCTTTCAAAAGAAGAATACAATACAATACAATACNAAGGCGGGCGGGACGCGGGAAAATGCATTGAAAAGCGGGGGTGTCCCGCCCAAAGCGGGATGTCTGGTCACCTTAGTTTTGCAGCATTTCATCTGCAGTTGCAGTGTTTCCCTTGTTATGGAAGTCAAAGCTTTGTACCATTTGTCACCAACCTTACCACCACCACCCTCCATTCCTTTGATGCATGAAGAAAGTTGACTCTGTCACTCTTCCTGCATAGTTGTGAATTGTTGGTGTATGAAACATGTAACAAAAAGACCTCCTCTATCCCCCCCTCCCCCAAGCAGCCTGAAGCAAGCAATCCATTCTCTGTTTGCCAATCAGACAGCTCTTGCAATCTTCCCCTTCATTTCAGAGAACACCAGTGGGGGTATTTGTGCAATGGTTTAAATCTTGACCAAGATTTGTGGCTGTTGCCCAAAAGGAAAGGAAGAAGGAAATCCCAGAAAGAGAAACAATGTCTGATTCATTCATTGCTTCCTTAAGCCCAGTAATCACTGATGTGCAGGAGACTTTCAAAGATGTGCAGTCATTAGGCATGGAAAATAGCCCAACTGTGCTGCAGTGCTTTGCTGCAGTGGGAATGAAAGGAAATTTTTCAATGAGGATGCTGAAATGTCTACTCGGAGTTTTGGGGGTGGGGGTGGTGTTTAAAGTAAAGGCATGAAGCAATAGTTAGATAAGCATAGCATCAGAAGTTTATGAAAGATAGTGCTATATCTCTTGCCCCATAGCAGATCCAGAGTCCCTGTGATTGAAATTTTACGTAGGTATGTATTTTTGTTGATTTCCTTTTTTTCCTTGTAGCTCTCTAGCTACTCCCTCTTACTGCCCCCCCCCCCCACTTAAATCTGTTCTGGGATTGAAAAATGCAGGTATGGTGGCAAGAAATGCGAATCAGAGAAAACTGCAATCCTCAGCAGAAAGTCTCTAGGGGAATCACATACTTTCCTTCATATAGGTTTTATTAACACTTTTAAACAAGAAGATGAAAACTGACCCAAACTAATATAAAGTAAGGAAGCAAAAATAAAAAAGAAATAAATCAAACAAATAGCAAAAAGTGCCAGAAAAACAGAAAAAAAAGTTATAAAGAAGTAGCTTCCAAAGTTCTAAGTAAATTCTAAGTAAAATATATTTTAACCTCTCTCTCTAGAGTCCCATCATATTACTCTTCTTTCTATAATATTCCTTGTGTAATTATCAAAGCCATAAATCACATTTTTTTCCATTTTTAGACAAAAAGGTCCATAAGAAGCTTCCAGTCACCAGATCATGTCTTTTCAAGAATCATATACCTTCCTCTAAATGGAAGGGACATATAGTCCTCTCTGGCACAGAGGAAACGGCTCAGGATTCAAGGCCATATTTTATTTATCAGTAGCAAAATATCATTTTTTATGGGAAAAACTCACTGTCTATATAGCACAGCTAGAATATATTGCCAAGGGAGCTGGGAGTAGGGATGGTTGCTATAAACCAGTTCTGCACACAAAGCTACATTGCAGTCCCCTGTAAGATTTACATAGAAAGAACTTAACTATTCAGAGAAAGGAAATTAAAGGCAGCAGTGCAATTAAACCTTTTCCATGTGGGTGAACTGCAAACAGTCACACAGATGGGAGAAAGTTAGGGAAAAAGCTTAGGGAGGGGAGGAGATGAATTTGCCTTGAGTGACCCAGTAACTGTACCTTGTGGCCACTGAGTAGAAGAAAGCACAGCACTATTGTGCATTGAGTCTAATGAACACATCTCATTTGTGATAGAACCTTGGAAGCAAGATTTTATGCAAAGTGTCATGGTTACTGCTTGAAATCAGCAAAGAGCTGCAGTTTCTCCCCATCCCTTCTTATTCCAGTCTCTCCCATTATTGCCAGGCTTTTTCCTTCTGTCCTTCCCGCTAGCTCTTGGATTGCATCTCCTAGTACGTCCTAAATTTGTGCCTGCCACAGCAACTTGCCTCTAGGGGATGCCTCAATTAGTTTAAGCTTGCCATCTTATAAAGATGGCACACAAGAGACCGTAGTTGTTGTACTCAAAGATGGTGGCACATTTCTGTTATTTTGTTCTCCTGACAAAGGAGACTCCAATGCTAGAGATTAAATGGGAGTTTATGACTGAATATAAACAATTCCCTTCTACAGTTTTCTAAGTAAACTGTTCAAGAACTGATATTCATTGAGAAGTCTGGGAATAAAATTTGGTTAGCAAAAGGATAAGGAAGAGATGAGAAAGAGGAATTATGACCTCAGTGGCCATTAATGACTAATGATGGAAAATGATTGCCAATCTGTTTAATTTGCTATAAATATTAGTTCCAGATTGAGACTGAGCAGTATTCTTAATTTTGAACATTTTATAACAGAGAAAATCATTTATTTCTTTACTTATCAAATTTGTCAGAAGAAATGACTCAAGGCACCATACAGCAAAAAATAAAAATAAAAACAATAAACATGCCAAACATAGTCATATTAGTGTGTGCCAGTGGTGGGATTCAGCCAGTTCATACCTATTCAGGAGAACCGGTGGTTGGAAGAAATTTCCTTTTGTTTTTTTTCCACTTTACAGGGCTAATCCTGTAANCTGTGGAATTCTGGGAGTTGAAGTCCACAAGTCTAAAAGGTGCCTCACCAGGCTTAAAGCTGACCGCACGTCACTGATGTGCACCATGCCATTGGTATTTATATCTTGCCTTTTTGTCAAGTTATATTATGACATGCGTTATTGACGTTATTGTGCCTAGGTGTGGCATATTGTGGGTACAAGTTTTAGTTAGGAACATTGATTGTGAAATTCAACTCAGCTTTGAATTCAGCTGAATGTCTTAGGTAAGGCATGTAAGATCAGCCTTGGCTTTTGCTGTTTACCTTACAAACCAATTTTATCAGTAGCTTGTAAGGATTACTAAAATAGCAATCCAGAACAGATTGATTCAAGGTCAGAATCTGGTCATAGTTTCAAGTTACTCATTTGGGTTATGGCAAAGTCACTGTATGTGGGAAAGCTCTAACTTTGTAAAAAATTCATGTTTCATACAGACTTTCTTTGTGCTACGTTCACCTAAAATCATATTGAACATTATTCTCTCTTATGTCAGAACCTGGTAGCACGGCAATTAAAGGAGAACGTCTGAGTGCAAAATTGAAATCTTTGCCAGGAACAAATGAGCCATATGAAAGTAGTGTTAATAAAGAAATAGGTAAGTATATGTCTAATTATTTACTTTCACAGAATTGGCCAGATGTACAGAGCCTAAAATTTAACTCTTTACGTCATTGCTATAAGTAAGGTTTTATAATGGGAGGAAAGGAGAACTATTACTCTTTAAGCAAAAGAGTAATAGTTTATATGAGAAAAACAGTATGAAAAGTGGAATTAAAATGGCCTATCAGCCTAAAGTGATATCACAGGGACATCATTAGCATATCTGGAAAGAAACATCAACCTAGATATTCCGGCAATGACACTTTGGTATCTGTAAGTAAGAAAGACTTATAGGGTCTTCTGTTAATTGTGAAAAAATACTAAAATAAGATTATTCTTCAAAAACCCTAAGTTATGGTAAATGCCATGCCAATGCAAGTAGAGACATTGATGTAGTAACAGATATCTTTGTAGGCTCAAAAATTTACAGGGACAGTGACTAGTCATAAAAAAGGTACATATTACTGTATTTTTCAGAGTAAATGGGGCATGCAGAGCTGGCAATAGGGTATGGCAATCCCTGCAGCCTGAAAAAGCTGATTGGCCAATCCAACTGACAATCAGCTGCTTGTGCCGAAACTGAAAAGGGCTGTTTGCTGCTTGTTGCAAGGATGCAAATTGCTGGGAGGCAGAGGCAGAAGAGGGAGGGAAGGAAGCCAAGATTCTTTGGATATTTGTCTGTTATGGGACATTGAATTTACATTTGCATGAGTGAAGGAGCCTCCAGAAATAGAGAGGAGTTAGTAATTGAGTTGAGAGTTTGGAAGAGAAAGCCGGAGCTGTATGGGAAGAGAAAAAGTTTATAGTTTGAGGCTGATTCTTCCCTTCTTCAGATATTCAAGATCTGAGGCAAGATACTTATTGCGTGGCTGCAGCCATTCGCCTGTGAAATGTGGGCTTAATGGAGCAGTTTGTGTTCCAACTACTTTTTTTCATTTAGATCTTGGGCGAGTTATGTGTCTGGCAGTCTTGCTTTTCTGAAGAATATATGCTTTGCAACTGACTCCAACATAACAGATTCATGACATTTCTTTGCTCCCAAATTGGAGATTCTTGTCTTCATTGGTGCAGCAGAGAATATATGGTAGTATTACTGGGAGAAAGATCTCTAAATTTGCTAGGACATGACATGAGATCAGGGGCAGACTTTACTGCCGGTTCGCTCATGTGCACACTTTGCACGCGCACATGCACAATTAAATTAAAATTTTTCTGCTCATGCGCAGAACTAAAAAAACAAAATGACAGCAGCGGTGACTGGGAAACCAATTTGGGGCATGGCAGGCCTGGGTCACTGCCGATTCCAGTGATCCAGGCCACCATACCACTACCAGTTCAGCTCAACTGGGCTGAACCAGTAGGAACCCACCTCTGCACGAGATCCTTCAATTTTGGAGAAAAGTGAATGACTACTTTTCTTGGACACTGAAATGTGATTTATTCTAACACAGAATTGGAGGGGGGGCACTAAATCCAGCTTCTGTTGGGTGCAAGAATCCAAATTCAAACATGCACAACAGATGGCTGTTTGGCCTCCATGTGAATAGATCTAGTGAAGAGAATCATGCACTAGATAATTGATTTCACCAGGTAATTGATTTCATTGGGCAATTGGTTCCACAATATTATTTTTATTTTAACATCTAATTAGGATCCATTTACCTGTAGTTTAATCTTTATTTTGTATCTTGTACTGTGACATAATGGAGAACAGGTTCACAGAACCTTCCTCTGACTGACACTCTTTTAGGTATTTGAAAAGTGCAGTTCCACCGTCCACCCCCCCCAATTATTCAAAGCTAAAATTTTCCTAATTGTTTAGTCTCTTCACATGCCAGTGTTTTTAAGTGCCTGGTTATCCTTATTGTACTTTGTGAATTTATTAATTTCTGTGAAATCTTTTTAAAGAACAGGTGCCTGAAACTCAGGTTTTTGAGCAAAGTAGAATAAAGTTTCCTATAGTTTAAAAACTATGCTCATGTTGATGTAGTCTAAAATTGCATTTGCCTTTTTTGAAGTCACATCACTCTTCTCACTCATCTTCCTCCCTCCCTCCCTCCCTCCCTTCCAAATATTCTTCTAAGCCTCGTATTCTGTATTTTTTAATGTGAATTTGATTTTTGTTATCTGAATTAAAGACTTTGCATTTGTCTTTGTTTAATTTAATGATTTTAACTTTCAGCCCATTTCAATAACCTAACAAGATAATTTTGGATTATATTATTATCTTCTAGCATATTGATATCACTCAGTGGATAAATATGAAAAGTTGGAGGAACTGTTCCAGCTATTCAGTAAGCGAAGAAATTTCTTAGATCTATTTTTCCCACTTTCTTTTCAAAATATAGATGCTTCCTACCTGGATCCACTTGGACCTCAAGCTGAGAGGCCAAAAACAGCACTAAGGAAAAAAATGGATGAAGATGAGTTTGCTGATGAAGATGTAGGCGATGATCTGCTTCCAGAATAACTTTTTAGACCAGTTCAGTTATTTTTTAAAAGTTGCAAAAGAAAAAATAATCTTTATAGAGATTTATATTTATCTGAACACTATATAAATGAAATCTTTATTTTAAGTAAAGTTTTTATAGTAAGAATTTAAAATCTTGTGCGTTTGTTATCAATCATATTTTTTATCTCATATCTTTTATGCTTACCCAAACCACCTAAATGATGATCTGTGGGACCAGTGAACAGCCTTCATATCATAACCCATCTATTTGCCTTGATAAGCTTAGAGTTTTGTTGGAGAACAATTGCTCATTCTAAGATGTCTACTTGAAGTATTGCCACTGAAAGGAAAGCTTAAGAGTTAAGCCATGAGTGGTAGGACATCAGTCATGGAGGCCAAAAACAATGATGATGGCAGGTGGATTTGTTAATCGTATCAGCTCCTCCCAGGACTTTGTGGCTGATTCAGGAGAATCATTCCAGGGCATTTGGGCAAATACTTTAGAAAGTGAATTGAGAATATCTAACAATGCTATCGATGGAGACAAATTACATTTTCTAAGTGTAAGAAATTTTAAGGATTCCTAATCATTATTTGATTATATTTGACCACAGTTTATCCATGTTTTCCAAATTGCAAAATGTGAAATCCCTATCTTGTACACGGCAAAATTCTATACAGTTCTGTGCACATGAGATTTATTTATGCCATGATATGGTAATCACAGAATATTTTTTAACCAAGTAAAATTGTTCCTTATTGTAACTGAAGCAATTTTCTATAAACCATCCTATACCTGCAGCATACCATCAGTCAAGAACTTGTGTCTAACAGTGTTTTAATCCAGGGGTCAGCAACCCATGGCTCTGGAGCTGCATGTGGCTCTTTCATCCCTCTGTTGTGGCTCCCTGTCACCAGTCAGCACCACAATTTTGAGAGGACCTTCGAGTTGGGGGAGGGGAAGCACAGCACACCAGGAAGGGACTTTATGACAAGGAGCGGATTTTCCGGTCAGCTCCACAATTGATAGGGCTTTCAGTTAGGATAGGCAGAGGAAAAAAGATGCCATGTTAGGAGGAGACTCTATGGCGGGGGGAACCAGACTTCCGGGAACCAGATTTCCGGTCAGCTCCAGAATTGAATGGGGGCTTCCGGTTAGGAACCTTGTGGCTCCCGATGTTTTCTGTGGGAAATGGGTCCAAATGGCTCTTTGAGTGTAAAATTGCCGACCCCTGTTCTAATCTCAGAATCAAGTTCATTTTCTGCACATTGTGGGAATTATTCCACAATCTACTCCACTGAAGTAGGAAATTAGTACTGGGCACATCTAAGAAATGATAGATTTGAATAAAAAAATCAAAGGGAATGTTTCAGAGCTTCACTTTTTCTAATTAGCTAATAAATAATTAACTGACAGATTAGGAAGCCTACATATTTTTCCATGTTTACTAAAGCCGCCCTATAGTCGGACATCACATCCAGCTTTAGGGAATCATAATTTAGATATTTTCTGGACTTGTAAATTAGTAAAACTATTTTGAATCTATAGAGGCCTTTTATTTTCTGCATCTCCGTCATTATTTGGAAGTGTAGAAAAATGGAGCAATGCCCAAATATCATCCTTTGCAGTTAATGATACGTTTTCATTAATTATACATATTTTATTACAGAAAGTTTTAAGCAAGAAAAAAGCAAACGGGTAAATTAATCTTACTCTCACTAAAACAACTTTCCATCACAAATAGGTGATTTATTGAAGTTTTAAAGATGGATAAAGATTACTTTAGAACAGCATTGCCTTTTTAAAATATGTTTTCAATTTGTACCATGTTACAATTTAATTCTTTAAATGAGAAACAGGGAGCAAAATGTCCAATGCTTAATTTATCAACACTGACCTTATTTTCCCTAGGCAAGTATATCAGAGCAAGTTTGCACAACCATTTTGTTTCTAGAGATAGGGCATAGGCATGTGCACGCACACTCACACCCAAAAGTAAGCCATACATTTAAATTGCTCTGTAACTCCCGGGCATTGATCTTGTACCTCCTTGTAGTAATAAGCACAAATGAAAACATTGGGATTTGTATGGAAAACCCTCATAATATCACGGCCACCGTCTATCTCAATGGACTGCAGATGCACCAATGCAGAAATTGGTATGTGGGCTCTGGAGAAAAAGTGAATCTAAAAATATTTACAAAAAACATATTTCCTACCACCATGTGAGCCAACAATTATTTGCTTTGTGATGGATTCCTCCCAGAAAACGTTGCCAAAAGTGCTCACCGTAGCGGTAGTGCTCAACTTATGATCACACTTGAACCCAAAATTTATGTTGCTAGGTGAGACATTTGTGAAGTGAATTTGGCCCCGTTTTAACCATCATTCTTGCCATAGTTCTTCAGTGAATCACTGCAGTTGTTAAATTAGCAACACAAGTTGTTAAGTGAATCTGGCTTCCCCATTGACTTTGCTTGTCAGGGCGCAAAAGATGAGGGAGACCGCAACCATCATAAGCCTGAGTCAGTTGCCAAGCGGCTGAATTTTGATCACCTGACCATGGGGATACCGCAATGCTTATAAGTTTGGGAAATGGTAACAAATCACTTTTTTTTCCGGTGCTGGGTTGTAACTTCAACGAACTGTTGTAAATCAAAGACTACCTGTACAACTATTTCTTTACAAGTCAGGATCCAGTTTATAGGACTTCAAATTTCTTTCCAAATAGAAAGAAATCCAGATAAAGAACTTACTTAAGCACCAACCATCTTGTCCTCTCAGAATAATAGAATAATGAAGTTGGAAAGGACCTTGGAGATCATCTAGTCCAACCCCTTGCTCAGAATAACAGAGTTGAAAGGGTACTTGGTGGCCATCTAGTCAAGTCCAACCCCCTGCTAAGGCAGCCGACCCTTACAGAATAATAGAATCACAGAGTTGGAGGGGACCTCAGAGGTCATCTAGTCCAAACCCTTGCTCAAGCAGAATACCCTTACAGAATAACAAGTTAGAAGGGTCTCAATGGTCATATAGTCCAACCCCTTATTCAGAATAACGGAGTTGGAAGGGACTTCAGAGGTCTTGTAGTCCAACCCCCTGTTCAAGGAGGAGACCCTTATAGAATAATAGAGTTGGAAGGGACCTTGGAGGTCATCTAACCCATCCCCCTGCTCGAGGAGGAGACCCTACACCACTCCAGACAAATGGTTGTCCAATCCTCCAGTGTTGGAACCCCCACCACCTCTGGAGGCGAGTTGTTGGAGTTCCCCAACTCCATCCCTCTTTTGGGGGGGGGGGTGAGGTGGGCTTCTACCCGTGTTGTTGAATCAACGGCTCTTTGTGATTCAAAATTTGGCTGCAACAACATCCAATTATGGCTTAGATGATTTTTGTCCCGGGGCTCCGATGCAAGGCGACACCCTCCGGATCGGTGCGCCAAAGGACCCGGCGGCGTTCCCCGCTTCAGTCAGCCCAGCGAGGGAACCTCTCGAGCAACCGGCTCTTTTCTTCCGGAGCCTTGAAGGTTTCTGGCACCGACAGCCGGGGGTCCTGCTGCGAGAAACCGGGAGCTTTTCCAACTCCCCCCCCCCCCGCCTCCAGGGCCAGGAGGAGCCCAAGCGCTCGCCTAGCCAGCCCTTCCTGCCGCTCTGCGCGCTAAGGCGTCCCTGTCATGCAGACGGCCAAGGTAAAGACGCGTGTCAAGGCGGGGAACCCGTGTCAAGGCGGGGAGGAATCGGGGCGAGGCCTTTTGACCTGCCCGCGACGCCGACTTCGACCCGACGGGTTCGGAGCCCTTTGCTCCGGCCTGGGTCGCTTTTGCTCTTGCGTTTCTTCCCCGTTCGGCGTCGCGGGCAAGCGAGGCGGCTTAGCCCAGCCGCCGAAACGCCGCGCTTCCTTTCGCCTCTGCTGCCTCTTCTTCTTCGGCGAGCTCGCGTGGGAATTAAACGAGCGGGCGTCGTCGGGGAAAGATGAAGGCGCGGGCAAGGCGCTCGTCTCGGGGCTTTGGGCTGCGCGCAAAGCGGCCAGCTGTCGGGACAAGCCGCGTAAAAGCGCGCCTTTGGAGGGACGGGGTGGCGGCGGTGAGTAAAAAGTGGCGGAACTGCGACGGTTGGCCAGGCTGCTTTTATGGAAAGGAACAGGCGGAGAATAAGCCGGGAAGAGCCATCTGACCGAACGAGCCCCGTTAGATCCTCGCTGGCGCTTCAGGTGAAACGTATTTATACGAATAACTTTGGTGCCTCGTTGTAGCTGATCTTAACCCATTCTTGAGTAAATTTCTAGCAACAATCTGGCAATTTCAGCCAGAAACTAAAAAGTAGAAAAGAAAGAAAAGAAACGAAAAGGTAGAAAAGAAAGAAAAGAAACGAAAAGGTAAAAAAAGAAGAGCTGAAGAATATTGGATGGGAAGCTTAAGGTCTTCAAAGGAAAACCAGAAAGTCCAGTTGCCTCTTGAAAAAAGTTCTTTTGGGACAGCCATGAACTGGATGATTGAGAATCTCCATAGACTTGACTTACTTGACTTAAGTCTTTAGCGTCGCCAATCCCTTCGCTGTAGAGTCGCATGCATCCCGGAGCGGGATCCATGATTCTAGGCTAAGTACTACTCGACCTCGCCGGGCCCAAGAGTCGACAGAGCCCCTTCTGTTCTCTTGGAAACGGTGGGCACCTCGAGAAGGCAGGGGTTGTCTTGATAATGAGAGGCTGTATTTTCGCGTCAATTATCCTTGCCCACCAATCTCCATAGACATGTGTAATAGAGTTATGAGTTTTTATGAGTTTTATTGAACACTTATAGGCCGCCCTTTTCCCTGAGGGGATTCAGGGCGGCTTACAATAATGAGGGGGGGAGTGCAAGACAAGACATAAAAGAAAATGTGAGTAAAAAATAATTAACAATAAAAGCACAACATTCACTCAGCATTCGGGCGGGGAGAGAGTAAAGTCCTATCCCCAGGCCTGAAAAGAACACGTGAATCAAACCATTGAAATAGGACAAACTAAAGCATTGTAAGATGCTAAACAAGGATAGCCCTTAGATGTTGGTGCAAAATTCACCATGTAAACCAGTGGTAGTCAACCTGGTCTCTACTGCCCACTAGTGGGCATTCCTGCTTTCATGGTGGGCCGTAGGGGTTTGCTGTAACTCTG